ANNATGNNNTCNNNTTGNNNACNATTCGCGCGCATTTTCGGTTTCTTCCCGAATCAATTCGTCCATTTTTACTGGCTGATGAATTTTTATACCTGAATTATTTTTTATTTTCACTTTAAAACTTTTTTCGACATCAATAAGCGACAAAAATTGTCATCAATTCATAAAAAAAAATATTTTAATCGAAGTGTCGGCAAGTTGCGCGCATTGTCCGCAAACACAAAAAGTTCCAGGTAGCAAGCGGGCGGGTAGCGGGCGGTTACGGGTACGGGCGGGTAGCAGCTGCCCGTTCGCTACCCGCCCGTCATGGAAAGCCTAAACCACCGAATTGATTTTTCCTTTAAAAAAATGCCGTTTCCATATTTCCAATTTTTCTCCAAGCCTTCTCCACACATTTCGAATCTTGTCTAACTCATTCCTTATAGTTAGCAAGACATCGAAAATTCTAGAATCATGCGGAAATTCGTATTTCCTCTGAATCACTGTTCTTTTCCTGTTTTTTTCTTTTCTTTTCTTGCTTCTTCATCCATCTCATCCCAAAAATCTCCAGCAAAAAAAGTTGAGTCGACTGACTCGATTCAAACTTTAACCCACATTTTTTTCTTGAGCCATCTCTTCCTTGTCTTCTTCTCTTTGACGTCAAAGCTGTTCTTCGAAAATTTTGGAGAGTTTCCAAAATAAAAAGAGATAAAAATAGGAGATTTTGAGCTTTGGGAGTTCCATAATTTGATTTGATTTATGTACTGACGAAGATACACTTTTTGAAGGCGGCAGAGTTATGATCAAACCTCGAAAGTTCGTCAATAAAAAAAAAGGAATTGCATCGACCGGGAATCGAACCCGGGCCGCCCGCGTGGCAGGCGAGCATTCTACCACTGAACCACCGATGCGACATTTTGAGGGAAGCGTGTTTCCGTAGATATGAGGGGGGGGGGGGCGGCGGCGGCAATCGTGGCGCGAGAGGAATGAATGTAAAGAGGAGAAGGGAGGTTTGGTAACCAGTTGCCGCAACATTGGAATGACTATATCTCAAAAACCATGAACCTTAGAAAAAAATGTTAAACAGGAGATTTTACACAAGTTTGTAGTTGAACTAATTTTGATTAGTTACACATGGAGTGAGATATAACGATATGAAAGCTGCGGTAGTCATGGCGGTGGTACAACTTCCTGTAATCATATCTCAAAAACTATGAATCCTAGAAAGCCAACAACAAAAATAAAATTGTTAAAATTTCCAACAACTTTGTAGTTTAATATTTCTGGATAGCTAAAAAGGCTAGTCAGATATAGAGATTCGAAGAGTTGACTCATGTTTGAAACTGAAACTCAATTTAAAGTTCCTTCATTGTTCCAGAATTTTCTATTCACTTTTTCTCGTCATATGCTTTTTGTCTTGTTTCTTCTCCCACACCAAATGATCATTCTGACACCACATTTCCTAATTTACGCTCCGCCCACTTTCCAGAGCCCCGCCCCTTTGCCAAAGTTTGAAGCAATTGCTTAGCTTTCCGATGCTCTCTGTGCGAGCAGAACGGATATCGTTGCCTTTTCCTGCTCGAAAAATTTTTTTTCAAAAGAAAAAAAAGAAAAAAACCTTGAAAACAAAAAAAGATGCGAATTAGGCTCTCCAGCGTCTGGACAACTTTTTGACCGATGTACATGCCGAATTCTCGTATTTTCCCGTTTTTGAACGGAGAAGTGAACAAAGTTATTCTAAAAGGCGTATATAGCGTCATTAGCTTCTGAAATGATGATATTTGAAAAATTTGAATTCGTTCATCTTCAAAAAAAAAGGAAAATGAGTAAGAGATATAATTTGAGTCTTTTGATCAAAAATTAAAATTCGTTGAAACATTTTTTGTCGTCATTTTTGATCTAGGGTCCAGAGTTTCAGAATTTTAGAATTTTAGAATCTTAGATCCCCAGATGCTGAAGTTCTAAGATTCTGAGATTCTGAGGTTCTGAGGTTCTGAGATCCTGAGATTCTGAGATTCTTAGATTTAGGGAACCTTAGATTCTGAGATTTTGAGGTTCCGAGATTCAGAGATTCAGAGATTCAGAGATTCCGATATTTTGAGATTCTGAGATTCTGAGATTCTGAGATTCTGAGATTCTGAAATTCGTGCTTCGTAGATTCTGAGATTCTGAGATTCTGAGATTCCGATATTTTGAGATTCTTAGATTCTGAGATTCTGAAATTCTGAGATTCTGAAATTCTGAAATTCCTCAAAACTGTCAAAATCCCCTAAATCTCAAAAATTTTCAAAATGATCCGAATTCCGAGTTTCTGAGATTCTGAGATTCTTAGATCCTTGGATTCTCAGATTCTGAAACCCTTTATCAAAAGATCCTCAGAATCTTAAAGTTCTGATTTTCCGAATATCCGAAAAATTCTATTTGAAACGTCCTCTAAACCAAAGCTATCCACAGTATGGCTGAGCCAGCCGCGGCCGACGGTGGTCTGCCGTTATATGCCCCACGTGAGTGCCCATCTTTTTATTTATTTTTTCTGCCATCCTATTATCTTCCAAAACGGACTAAATTACATTTTCTTTGGTGAGTGACCATCCTTTCCCTTTTTTTCTATCTATTCTTCTTTTCCTTAACAAAAGAAAAGGAAGGAAAAAGAAACTCAAGTGTATCCAATTTCAATTTTTTTTTTCATTTTTTTTTCAAATCCTCCTTTTTGGGATTTTTCTAGTAAAAGATATTTCAAGTGTTTTTCGCGTTCCGAAAAGTAAAAAAAGAGAAGATTCTCGCAGTGTAATTAGCCTTTAATTGTTGTCCGGGCTCCTTGCTCCATTTAGAATATTCTAGAATATTGGGGGACTACTGTAGTATGTTTTGTTCCCAAAGGAGAGGAGGTGTTTCAATTTTTAGCCAAAAAATTTTTCAAAAAAATATTCGGCCTTCGGCTCCCAAAGGTGTTGCTGACGCATTTTTAGAACATAAAAAAAGGAAAAATTCCGGGAAAAATTGAATAAAAACCTGACAATTCTCGTCACTCTAGCTTGAAAAATGAGTCCCTGGGTGGTGCTTCGAAACTTTTTTTAGAAAAAAAGATAAGAAAAATTTTCCATTTTTGAAAGGAATACATTTCCATTTCTTTTGGAGAAAGGATCAAAAATTAGTTTTTAGGATTCTAGCTATTTTGGAATTTTGAAGAATTTCAATTTTCTTCTAGACTGCTTGGAAGGTCCTGTGGTTAGAATCTCAAAAAATCTTAATTTCAGAATTTTAGAATTTTAGAATTTTTCGGGATTTTTGACATTTTAAGGTTTTTTTTGAAGAATTTTTTTCAGTTTTGATTTCTTGCAATATTTTGGGATTTTTGTAATTTTTGAATTTATGGAGATTTTGGAAATGTTTGGAATTTTTGAAAATTCGGAATCTCAGAATTTCAGAAACTCAGAATCTCAGAATCTCAGAATCTCAGAATCTCAGAATCTCAGAATCTCAGAATCTCAGAATCTCAGAATCTCAGAATCTCAGAATCTCAGAATCTCAGAATCTCAGAATCTCAGAATCTCAGAATCTCAGAATCTCAGAATCTCAGAATCTCAGAATCTCAGAATCTCAGAATCTCAGAATCTCAGAATCTAAGAATATCGGAATCTCAGAATCTCAGAACCTCAGAAACTCAGAATCTCAGAATCCTCCATATATGGAGGCTTGACTGACCCTATGATTTATCCCTTTTTCTTTTCCCATTCGGTTTTCTAAATATAGATTTTCATTGTCCTCTTTCACACCCCCTCCCCTCTCTTCCAACTTGACATTGCGTTGTCCCAAGAAAATGGACAAGTGCTCATTTATCATCAGATGTACGTATATATGTATAGGGATCCTCGTGAGGTGGTGGTGGCTGTGAAAGTGACACTTTGCGTCATGTTTTTGTTTCAAAATGGTTGGGATGGACTTGGTTAAAGCTGGTTTGCAAAAGGGAAAGAGGGAGGAAGAAGATTCAAATTTCCGGAAGGAATGGGAAATGATATACCTTTAGGATGTCCGTTGTGATTGACGGAAGTCAAGTCCGTAGTTTTATTTTTAGTGAGAGTGGATTCTTCGCAAAATAGGGCAAGTTAGGGCAAGTTAGAGTAAGTTAGAGCAGGTTAGGGCAAGTCAGGGCAAGTTTGGCAAGTTAGAGCAAAATGGTGAAGCTATGGCAAGCCTATGTCAAGACAAGGAAAAATAAGTATACATATAAAGGCAAGGCTGTGGCAATTTATGGCAGGTTAGGTTAAAGCAAGTCAGGGCAAGTTTGGGCAAACTAAGATAAGCTGAGGCAAGTTGAACCAAGCTGAGACAAGTTAAACGAGGACAAAATAGGGCAAGATAAAGCTTTTAGCCAAACTAGTACAAGTTAAGGTTAGCTAAGGCAAGGAAAGGTAAACTAAGGCAAGTTAGGGAAAGTTAGAACAAGTTAGGGCAAGCTGAAGCAAGCTAAGGCAAGTTAGAGCAAGTCAGGGCAAGCTAAGGCAGTAGCCACACCAATTCCATAATCTGCCCCAGAAGACGTCGAACCTTGACAAGGAGCAAGATAGGGCAAAATAGGTCAATCTCAGCTATGACGTGCCTTACTGCGAAATTACCTGAAAACAAGATTCCCAATTTTCAACCTA